TTGCCCTAGAAAGGCAGTGTTTTCTTGCCTTGCAGGGATGTCGGGAGTTTGGCGCATTCCCACCTTCATGTGGAAGAAGCCAGGTGAGTGTGAAGTCCAGTTAGTCCTGGTTTTAACTCCTCAGACCCGTATCTTGCCTGGTGCCTGTCAGCAGTTTGCACTGCACCACCACTCCCCCATGTAACCGGTACTCTGCCCTAGACATCACTTGTAAGGATGCAGCACAACAATGTTTGCCCTATGACCACCTGCAGAAAAGGCTTCTTGGTGCCCTCCAAAGACAGCCTGGGATCTCACACCAAACCTCCAAGGGGACCTTTTCCCTGATTTCACCGGGGCATTGCTTTGCTCTCCTGGCAAAAGAGCGGCATGGTTTGCTCCTGTTTTCCCATAGCCCAAATCAAGCTGCGCTGCACATATGAAAGTACCAGTCCTCCCAGCAGATCCAGTTAAAAGGCATAGAATCACAGAATCGTAGAATCATTTAAGTTGAAAAAGACCTTTAAAATCATCGAGTCCAACTATAAAACATGAGCAAGTAAAATAAGAGATAAGCAATGGGACAGTTTGGCCGAGACAGAGTCATCTCATGCCATGGACCGCTGCTGGAAGTAAGGGAGGGGAATGATAAATGACCCATCCTCCCCGCTTGCCCCAGGAGCTCCCCCCTTCCCCAAAGCTATTTCAAGGGATAACAGTGAAGTGAGGTGGGACAGAGTGGTCAGGAAATGTCCTCATCCCCAGCTTGAGGTGAAACCATGGGATAGGCAGTGGGGGACTGAGGAGGGAGAGAAGAGAAGGTTGCATTTTGCCTATGGTCTCCCCTCCAGGTAACGAACCTCTGAGCACCTGACTAAACGGGAGAGGACCTTTTGGGACACCCCACACCTCCTCTCACCCAGAGTGATAGAGAAAGAGGAGGGTTCCCACCCTTTCCTCACCACAGTACCTGGTTGAGGGAAGTCACGGCCAACCTGGGGATAACCAGCTGCATGACGAGCTGCAGGACAGAGGTGACCAGCCCAGCCAGGATGGCCCAGGTGAGTGGCAGCGGGAGCATGCTGTAGGTTGCAAAAAGCGTGAAGAGCACATAGCCAATGCCGTCCCCAAGGAGGCCACAGCCCAGGCCGGCTGCCAGGATCTGCGTGGCCATGGCCACCCAAGTGACCACACCGCTGTACTGCAGGTAGGTGTACGAGGTCGTGTCCTTCCTGACCACCACTAAGGCACAGATCACCACCTCGATGCCGGTGAAGAAGCCCAAGAGGATGCCCTTAATAGGGTCCATGGGAGCAGAGGCCAGGGTCAAGTGGAGGAACAGAAGGGTCAGCTTGGTCAGCACGTCCAGGATGTTCATGACCACCTCAGATTTGCGCCGCTGGCCCAAGAAGTAGCGCTGGTAAAGGCGCTCCAGGTCCCGAGACTTGAAGGAGTTGCGGAGAGTGGGGAAGATCACCCCGCGATAGGTATAGCCCCAGTTGAGGAAGAAGTCGGAGTTGCTGGGGGCACAGTCCAGGGGCAGAAAGCCCAGGTCCCCGCTGCTGCTCGTGCGCTCCGGGAAGACTTTGGTGCCTCCGTTGTTGTGGCGCTCGCCACCCAAACTCCGGCCAGCCGACTGTCGCCGAAGGTGGTGGTGGTGGTGGTGGTGCGGCGGGTGGGGGTGGTGGTTGGGGCAGCAGGTCTCCTCGGAGCTGAA